AGGCAAACCCATTCACAACCTTTTGGCAGACCGATAACATCTTATTTGCATAGTTATTATTTGTATAACGAATATACAAATAAAATGTTACCAGTCCATGATCTAAAAAGGTTGGGAGCTATTGGCCTAATAGGTCTCTTCTGTCCCTAATCTGTGTGGTTCTAGTAACTAACCTAGTTGAAAGAAATGTGCTTACATGCTGGAAGTGTCAACTCCTACAAAGAAAACACTGAACCCTGAGTTCAGGAGCTCAGGTCTTCGCATGCGATTAAGGATCCTGTCTCATTCCCATTAGTCAGGGGGGCGTCTCTGGGAGTCAATAAGTCCTTAAATAAGTTCAAAAATTGGGTTGATGCTACCCTTGCTAACTCATCTGCAATTCCCCTGGCCTCCTTGCTGCTGGCTGCACTGCTGTTTATTAAATATCAGTAGCTCCCACACATATCCAGAAAGCATCGGGAAGAAGTGCCCTGAAGACCAGACACTACAAAAAGCCAGAAAGAGGTGAAACAAAATGTTCCTCTCATTAGCTGTGATAGTCATTTCATTTATATGATAAAAACGTGGTTTCAGGAGGTTTGGTTTTGAAAAGGTGCTTGTTGCGATTGAAATGAAGGAGAGGGAAGGTTGAAAGAGCTTGCAGGGAAGTGACAGAGGGCTGGATAAATGGAGAGCAAAACTGAATGGGCGGTAGAGATAAAGGAAGGCAAAGAGGAAAGGCAGAAAGCATAGTGGAAAGGGTCCATGACTTCAGTGGGAATTGCACGCTTGCATGCCAGGATAGAATCAGGACTATTTTGTTTAAAAATGTAATTATTTGTGATTTTTTTAAAGTCTATCAACATAAAGAAAAGCCAGCATGTAAAGACCACCCCTAACAGACAGCTTCTTTCTTTAAGAGACCAATTTAAAATATATCCCCCCCCCCAGTTTCCTGTAAAAAATTGTTTGAGCTGTTGTAAAAGTCCTACCTCTACCAGGCAACCAATTTGTGCTGACTCGTCAGGTAGCTGGAGGTTCTGCTGTGGTATGTTACTCATCTCCAGTATTCAACAGTGTTTATTGCGTTGTGGTTTTTAAAAAATAGTCTTTTAATGCCCCCAATCAGCAGTCTCCTGGAGTCCTAGGCAGGAGCAAATGGCAGGGCTCTGTCACCAAAACTGCAACCTAGCCAGGAAATCATCTTAGTGGGCTACAGTATAGATCCGGATATGCTGAAAGGCACCGGAAGGCAAAGCTGTTGCCAGTGGATGCCTACTGGAGTGGATGGCTGTACCTGAAAGAGAAGTTGATCCAGTCCCCTGCTTTGGAGAGGAGTATATCGTCTATAAGAGAGCCCCTTGGCTTTGCTTTAATTGAAACTCTTCATGGTGCCAGCTGGCTGTCCAACAACCTCAAGATGTGTCTTGGGCAATATTTCAAATGAAGGCACTGAAATTAGTCTGTGTTCTGGTTTTAATATATTTGGTACTTGGTTATTAATCATCATGCAGCTCTACCTTCACCGTGTCTAGAGTACTGAATTACCTAACTTCTGCCAAAAGTGAGTTGTATCATGGCCACTAAGGAAACTTATCGCTTTCTCTCTCTCATGCAATACATTATTTTTCCCCGTCTTCTGGTAATTGAAGCATTTTCTCCAGTGTGCAAGAACAGAAGTGTCTTTGAGATCTAAAGGCTTAAACCCCACACATCAATGACTTCTAGGTGCTCTCTAGTACGGACAGTTGAACACTGCTTACACCTGTGTCCTGGTGAATAGCCAGGAATATAAATGTTGCCATTTGAAAATGCAGTAATCCCAGGAGAAGTGATACAAGTTTTATATCAAAAGAGTTTTCCAAGAGGAAGCTCCCCATTTGCTCAGGTGTTTGGAAGATCAGTTGCTGAATTTGCCATGTGGGCTGCTGAAGATTTGGGAGCAGAATACAAGGAAACATGTTTGTTTCTCCTCCCTTTGAAGAAACCTAATTTTCCTGTCTCTCATTTAATCAGTGGCATCTAGCTCCGTCCCCCTTTTTCTGCTAATTATCTCAAGACACTTCATACTTTTGATCAATCCCAAGCCACCTTTCTATGGGCCTGGCATCAAATCAATTTATAGATCATTTAACTTGAACTGGTGAGTTAGCCACTGCCAGTTGGGCACAACGATTGATAGTAGGGTCTATTTATGCCCTCAGAGTATGACTGTCAACTGAGCCAGGAGCTCCTAACACCTCCAAAGTCTTGCTAGAAAGAATGAAAAGCATAGCCATGACATTCCAGCTTTTTCTGTCGCTTACTAGTTTGTTTGTGGTGCATGTTATTAAATTAGCTGCCTCATGGAGGGCTCAAAGGGTTGGTAGGAGAATATGGAGTTGTTTACCCTCAGTTCAAATCCAGCTTAGGTCAGCTATAATATGAATACATCCTGGAATATAGTTTAGATTTCTAAAGGACATACCTTGATGGATCTCAGGCCAGTGCCTCACCAGCTTCGGTTGAGTCTTTGCCCTATTGAAACGAATGGACCCAGGATTCAACCCCTGGTGTCTATATCACCAAGACAACCACCACAAATGTGTTGACTACAGGCTAAGCAGAGAAACCAAACATGAAATAGACATAAATCAGTTCCCTCTTCATACCAGGAGAGCTGTGGGGTGAGGCGTGTCAGGGGAATACCATGGGGATGCTTCTCCTCTATGTACACCCAATCAAACTAGAAGCCTTTACTCAGTAGGGATCATCCTCCTTCCTTACTGTGGATAATGCCACTTCTATGAGGGGAATATAGGGCAAAACCTGCCTCCTACCAGAAATATTGGAATGTTTCCTTCCCTTGCAGCTTCATTAGAAAAGGATAAAGAAGGCAGTTTAGAGGGGAGTGATAGTCTAAGTGCTGGTCTGTGCTTCAAAGTTTTAGTGATATCATTATGTTGGTTAAGGTGGGAGCTAAAACTTTGCCCCGACATAGGTATTTCAGTAAAGCCCTAGGATAGGTCCAGGACTACATGAGGAGCACTTTGCTGGTATAGCTATACCGGCATCATGTACTATCAAAGCACTCCCTAGTGCGGACACAGTTTATATCCCCACCATTGCTGTTAGAGCTTAATCCAGACTCCAGCCCCATTAACCAAAACAGGCTTTGCCAGCAAAAGCATAGCTTTGTTGCTATAACTGTGTCTACACCAGGGGGGTTTCTAGCACAGCTGTGTGAGTCAGAGATCGCACCCCTAACAGACATAGCTATGCTGACTCAAGTTTATACTGTAGATCTGGCCTAGATTCAGTTCTATCAGTATAAAAGTATTATACTGCTATAGCTCATTTCCATTCCTGAATCAGAAAATTTCCATCGACTACTCGATTAGCGATAAGGAGGGGGGGTGCTCGTTACCCCTACTGTGGCTCTGCAGTTTAAATGTAGTAGGAGCTGTGTGCGTAGGCAGCTCAGCTCCTACTACATTAAAACTTTAGAGTTGCAGTGGGGTTAGTGCCTGGGGGCAGTGCAAGCTGGGAGCTAACCCCACTGTGGCTATGCATTTAAAATGCAGAGTCACAGCAGTCTCGGAGCTGGCGTGAGCTGAGACCGCTTAATCCCAGCTTGCACCGGCCTCGGAAGCTACCCCTGCTGCAGCTCTGCATTTTATATGTAGTGAGCTTGCCGGGGCTCTGCTTCTCCAATCTTTCCTTCCTACCCCCCGCACTGTGGAGATGGTGCTAGGAGGACCCTGCTTTTAAGCCAGCTCCCCCCCAGCATCAGCTTCTGCTTCCCCCCACCCCTTGCTGCCTCTGACACAGAAGCAGTGGGGGTGGTGGAAGCGCGTAGTTGACTGCTCCCTTACATCCCTAGTACGAACACCGCTATAATTGTGTCCACAGCAGAAAGGTTCTGCTGCTTTAACTATACTGCTATATTTAGAGGCCAACCTTCCTAGTGTAAACAAGTCCTGGGACTTCGAGAGATCCAAATTCCATATCTGACTCTGCCACACTCTGCATGTGACTTTGGACAAGTCATTTCCCTCCTCCCATGCCCCCCCCCATATGAAGATGGTACAGTAATATGTCGCTACATCATGAATGCATGCAAGATGTTCCACAGCAGCAATGAAGATGCCTTAAATAAATAAAGGCATGATCTGGCCTGATTTAGTCCAACCTCAGGCAAAAATTTGAGTGAGAATTTGGGTTGAATAAAGACATCAGGGTTTGTCCATCTGTCAACAGAACACCTCAGTCAATGGCATTGCCAATTTGACTCACTCACAAGTATTAAAATGTTTCAAATGTGCGGAAGTAAAAAGGGAAGGGAGAGAAGGTGTAGCAGGTACAGCAGAAGTTGGTATGAATTGTGTGGTGTCTAGGCAACCGTTTCCACGTGTGGAGAAATTGCTTCACCCCCAGATCCATAGAGCATGCTGAGTCATATTGACTTTTTATTTACTCTGTCTGTGTATCTCATCTGGAGCATCAAAAGGTGTCTTGTGTTTGTACGTCCTACTCTACTTTGTTCTGTTAGGGCTGCATGTTAAAGTGTACGCAAGCCAGAAGCTGGTAGTCTCTGGCAGTGTTGGAAGAGGGAGATGAGGTGAAACAATTCAGCATAGAATTGCCCAGTGCTGCTGCTGCTGAAATATCACGTTTCTGAGTTTCTGAGTTTCACTCTCAAAAGGAGTAGCGCTTTATTATTGAAACATGATCATCCTGGATCATAGGGCTTCAGAGCTCTCATACGGACATTGTTTTTCAGTCATTCAAAAAAAATCCACCTCTCAATTCAGGGCGGGAAATCCTATGCGGAAAGCACTGACAATGAGAAAACCATCAAAGAAAATCTTCAGTGCTAGGAGTTCAAGGCCTTAGAGAGAGAATACAGATCAAACTCTCAGGAATAAAATGGCTCAGAAACCCTTCCTGTGGAGTGAACACAGTCATTCCTCTCTCAGAAAGACTCTGAATCGTTACAAGGTTTTTCTGCACTAGACATTTCTCTGTATTTTGTTTTTCAGAGTGACTTATGGTCTTTGGGGATAACAGCTATAGAGATGGCAGAAGGTGCTCCTCGTAAGTAGATACACTGCCTTGGTAACTCACTCTCCTTTGTTAAGCACCAGCCACACACCACAAACTGCATATGCAGTCCCCGCTCCACAGAGAGGAAAAATCTAAGCAAGGGTGAACTGGGAGCCCAGAAGAGGGGGGTGAATGTTGAGAACTGAAACAGGAAGGCCTCTAAATGCTACAAGTCAGTGTGATCAGGTGGCTAGAGCACTGGAATGGGAGTCCAGTGATCTGGATTCTATTCCCAGCTAGTACTTCAATTTCTTCTAGTTAAAATAGGGGTAAAACCAGCGATCTGGATTCTATTCCCAGCTTTCTCACTGAATTTCTGTGTGATCTTGGGCAAGTACTTCAATTCCTTCTAGTTAAAATAGGGGTAAAACCAGTTCCTCTTCTTTTTAAAGCACTCTGAGGAGTATTTCAACTCTGAGTGGAAAAACATTGGAAAAGCTTTGGTGTAGTATTTCAGTGGCCTTTCTTGTGACACAAATAACAATACATCAGATTTAGCAGGTGCGTTTAGTAGAGATGTTAAGTATTGAGTAATTAACTAATAGAATAGTCGATGCATTTTGCATCAACTATTCGATTAGTCAATAGGGCACCTCCGCCTTTGAAGTGTAGCAACAGTCCTAGGGCTGTTGCTACACTTCAAAGGTGAAAGTGCCGCATGAAGCTCAGAGTCAGCTGGGGAGTCCCCTGCTGACCCTGGGCTCTACACAGCGCTACCGCTTTGAAATGCCAGAAGGAGCCTGATGCCGGGCTCCCTGCGGTGTTTCAAAGCGGCAGTGCCACACAGAGCCTGAGGTCAGCTGATCCCGGGCATTGTACGGTGCTGCCACTTTGAAAGACTGCATGCAGCCTGGGGACACCCCAGCTGGACCTGGGCTGCACGTGGCTTTTCAAAGTGGCAGTGCCACATAGAGCCCAGGATTTGGCCCCAGGCTTCAAGTGGTGTTGCCACTTTGAAGTACCCCTTCTTCTTCCCCCGCCCTTGCTACCTCTATCGGATAGAGGCGGC